TGATTTGGGCTTTAAAATTAAAATTATGAAATAATCTGATTTATTTAATTAATTTGCTAATTTGTATAGAAAAAAATAAAATAATTTAATTAATTCAATATAAAAAATAAAAAAATTATTTAGTTTCGATTCTTATTCGGTTCTTCGGTTCTTGGTCTAGACCCGAGACCCGACCTAAACCCATCGGTTCTCGATTCGGGTACCCGTTCGGGTATTTAATTTATGAAGAACCACTCGGTTCGGTTCGGGTTCGGTTCGGTCCGGTTCGGGACTTTTGGATACCCCTAACTGCAAAATGATAAATTTCCTTATACGTGTAGATTTATATGTATTAATTTTTTTAATTAAAGACACATTAAAGTTAATTAAGGAATATAGCCTCGTTTGGCCCCCATTATTTGAGATTATAATTTTTAGAATAGTGTTTTTTGTAAGAATGTGCAGTTAAAAAGAAGAAAATTTTTTGGATTTACGTATAATATTATTTTATTGAAAAATGTGTGATTGATAAAAAAAGAGAGAAAAATGGATTATAATTTTAATGGGAGCCAAACGGGCGTATAATTATATCTAATTATGATTGATTGATTTAAATTATATAATTAGTATAGTGTGATGTTTATTTAAATTTGTCTTTGATCTTCGTCCCTTATTTCGTTTGAAATCAACGGGCTCAAGATCAGCCCTCGTTCTTTATTTCGCTTAAAATAAATTATGCTACTTCAGATCCCCAGTACATATCTTTTTGGCACACATTCTAAAACTCCATTTTAGTATTAAAGACAATTCTTCTATACAGAATTCATCAAATACAGGTGTTAAATTTGGCCAAAAGACAAGTTTTCCGTTACATTCAAACAAAACAAAAGAACTTGATATAAAACAAGATAAAATAATCTCCCCCTCCCACAGTTAACCACCACCACTTCCCACTCCGTCCAGCTCCCTCCAACTCACTCCTTTCGCTCAGCTATAAATGCGCAAGTATAAGGCACATTTTCCATCTTCCATTTCTTAGCTAGAAGAATAAAGAACTAATTCAGACAAGATAGAAGGAGCCAACATCACTTATATCTGAAAAGGACGAGTTTTCATTTTTTAAGAAATCACCTGTACATAAAAAGTTAAAAAATAAAAATAAAAATAAAGTCAATGGAAAGGGATTATTAATCAAGGATAATTGGCAGTGAATGTATAATGAGTGGTTCAAGAACACACACAAAAAAAAAACCTTTTGGGGGAAAGGAATAATCGTTTCAAAACAGTAAACCTACTTTGGCCTTCTTGTGGAGTCAATATACATCTATTTGCAGCCTTGGCACCAGTCAAGTAACTCAAGTCAATTAGAAATAATTGCCTCCAAACTTAGGGTGTTTTGAAGATGATACTCGTGGTGATTGAAATAATTAGATTACCAAGATTCTCTTTTTGGACAAAATTCTCATGTTCTTGACTGAAAATCTTTCTCTTGCATCAGATTTGTACGGTGGGAGGTGGGAAGGCAGGTGGAAAAGACAGATTGGATGGACGGTCATGCACTTGAGTCCCCAACTTTATGATGGATAGTACAAACCGAAAGGACTTCTTTGCTAGGAAAACTGAATTTTGAGATCCCGTATGCCCGAAAAATAATACGGGGACTCGTGCTAATGACCATAAAAGTACACAATTGTCCAAATAAGAATTACAGTGTTGTTAGACTTGACTTAAGCAATATTTGTTAATCCTTGTCAACTAAGAGACTTAACTTTGTACAGAGTTGGGGACTTGGAGCGGAAATTGCACCATCATGAAAATCTTCACTGCACTTATGACAGAAGTGCTTTCCAAAAGATTCACGTCTAGGCAATGCTATTCCTGCAAAATTTTGCCCTAGCACGGACACATAACAACACAGTGGATGCCACCAAAAAAGAAGGTCCTACTTGTCATTTGTTTGTTGGCGTATGCCAAATTTATCCAGCTCTGTATTTTCTTATCAAGATCATTCAAAATATTGAAATCACTTGAATTGCATGATGCAGCTTCTGGCAAAGTTTAAAGCATCCCAAGTTAAAGACAAGTATTATTAACATATATGTTGCCTTGGGCAGTCTAAATATTCACTTCTTAGTTCCATTTTATTCTCTATCTACATGTTTGACCCTACCGTAAAATGAGTGTATGAAAGGTCCCTAAAGAACTTTTTGGACAGTGGAGCCGACCTGTATGTCTTTTATGGAGTGAGTTTACAAGATACTGCTGGAGCTGTAAAACCGCCACGAAATATACAGAAAACACCGAAGCCACGAGACACCATAGTGCTAGAAATGTCAAAGACATTGTTTTTGGGCGCAGGCAGCAGTCGATGATTTTAGTTCTTGCCTTTATTCTTTGGTGTTATCTTCCGACGAACAGAAAAGGGGTAGCTGTCAGGCTGGGGGCAGAAGAAATAATCAAAGACTTACTTTGACCCTTCCCTTGAATAGAACTTTACACGATCAAAAAGGAAGGAAAGCAGAAAAAAAGCAAAGAGTGCATCAAGAAGTGAAATTTCGGGAATCCAATGATCAGCGATGGAAGCTCAGTTAGAAGCAATTCACACGAACAGAATCCACTCTAATAATTTAATTGAAAAATGGTAGCTTCTCAGAATTAAACCTAACTTTTTTTTTTTCAAAAATATATTTCCAGTGAAGATTATCTCTTTTCCGTTTTCCATGATTTCCTTTAACAGATACCAGACCAAATTTTAGAATGTTGAAACAGGGAAAAAAATTCTCATATTTTTACCCAATTCTTATTAGGAAATCCCCAATATTCTTTCCTAAAATGACTCAAACGACACGGTCAATATCCAAATTAGGCGAACTACAACACGAAACGAGATAATAGCAAAAAGTCAAATCATAAGTATATTTATAAATAAAACCAAGAAAGCTAAAACGCTGAGCTTAAGAAATAGAAAAACAGACAGAACCTGTTGGAAGCTCTTAACAGTCTTGCCAATGCTCCGGCCAACTTCGGGCAACTTCTTGGGCCCGAAAACCAGCGCAACCACGCCGGCAATTACCACCAGCTCCGGCACTCCTAGCCCAAA